TTGAAAAACCAGAGAATAAATTGGCATAGAGAATTTTAATTATATATGTGTAATCTCACTCACAAAAATTTCAGTTTAATTCTCAAACATTGAAATTGACCAAAAATGTAAACACTTTTTGTTTTTATTTGTTTTATTGGCATTTTCCTTTTGTGCAATGACTTGAAGAGCTGTCAAATAATAAGGATGGTAAAAGGTAGATAATTATTGAAAATGAACTATCTGAGATAGGTTTGTTAATTTACTTGTAATTTACCAAATGTTATTTTATTGACCGTAAATCTTCATTTTCTTCAAATTCTGGCTTCGGAGTGTGCAGTTTTCCAATTTGTACATAAATATTTTTGATAAATAAACAAATATCGTTAAAACACTTGTTTCCTAAATCTGCCAAGAAAAATTCTTCCTTTAAGAGGTATACGTTGTTCATTGGAAGGAAGCAGTGTTGTTAAAATACTCGAATGTTGAGTATTTAAATATTTTGTAAATACTTAGTCAAAATTCAGTATTTAAATGTTGGCTACAAGTATTTTAAAAATATTTTAAATACCATGCAGTTTTCATTTGAAACAAAAATTTACACGTTAATAAAAGAGGATCATAAGTTGCCAAATTTTTTTATTTTTATTATTTTTTATACGCTCACATTACATTGCAGTAAGTTTCATAAAGGTTTGCTTTAGAAATAAAAAAGGTTTTAATTCTAAAATTCACCAATAATGCTTGTTAACCTTAAGGAGCTGTAATATCTCAAACAAATCATCAGATCATACGCTATTTAGTTAAAATAAGAGCACGTGAACTAAACAGACGTCTAACTAGGGCACTTGAAGGCTATATCTAATAAAAAGTTGTTTAATTTTAGTCTGACATTTGCTGCTTTTAAAAACTGGTTTTGTTACACTTGATGTCATAGTACACACAGATTGTTCTAAATGTTGCAGGCATTTCGCCCTAAGTTGTTGTGAATTCTCTGTCCACTACACTACAGTTTAAAGCGAGGGTGAGTCACTGAAGCGACCAAAAATTCTTTATCACCAAGACAAGTGTCAAAACGTTTGTCAATCCCCAATAGTGAGGCATTTCATAAAGGAATCGTGTGCTTCAGATCCATTGAATTATTATTGGGCCGCCATGTTTACTTATATTGTTAACAAAGAACTGAAAGATATAGTGAGTATAGCCTCAAAGAAACAAATAAAGATTAGAACAGTTTGTACAGACTAATGTATATGTAGAATAAACAAAGGATATACGAAGAGGAACAGATGATTTATAAAGCAACTTTTCTGTCAAAGTAATTAAATTTTTAAATACTAAATCGCACGCAAAGTATTTAAATAAATGTCTAGATACTGCTATTTTATTAAGTATTTTAAATACATCTTGAATACTGGGGTGATTAAGTACTAAATATTTAACAACACTGGAAGGAGGCACTCCACAAATATAAAAAGTTTAACAAACGTTAAATCATACCTTGAATGTTGAATTGTTAATTGCATAGGAACAATTTGATAAATATTATATTTTGGTCTGAACTTAGCAGATTTCAATAAAGATGAAGCTAACACGGCAGGAAACAAATTAAAAAAAAATTAAAAAACACAATTATTATCAATAAAATTTAAGTGATCAAATCGCATAAATTTAACTACCTTGTCAACAATATGTCAAAAAAAAATAATTTGTTTAATTTTAAAAGTTATTCAATCTTATTAAAATTGTAATGCTTATTGCGTAATAGGAGAATTCAGCTTCTCTCAGCTGTGTACGTGTCAAAATGTAAATACTTCAGATGGTACAAAATGGTACCAATGTTAAGATAACATTCAATGAAAATAACCAAGTGAACGAAATGGAACTAAATACATGCTTCTAGGGTAAATCAACTTCCTTTTGTAAACGATATGTTTTCCAAATACGTAATGCTGAAGATGCGTCAGAACTTATTTAGTTATCATAATAATTAAACATCAGCCAGCTAGACCTTAAATCAGCTTTTAGAAAAAGTTACAAATTCACGTGGCGACGATGATGACGACGGTGATATCATGATAGCGATGATGATGATGAGAGAGAAGTCAATTGTTTCTATCCTACCTTCAGCAACACCGCTTCAACGAAGGCTCCACTCACGTGCTGGGTTGGAATGCGCGCGCGTGTATCCTCCCCCAACGATCGTCCACTATTCATAAATACATTTTAAAGTACGCAAGCATATTTTTGCACGCGCGACTAAAAAGAAAAAATGGGAACAGTTTCACAAGTGAAAATGCTCACCAACAAATAAATGTGTTTGTTTACGCACGGACAGAATCGCACGTGCGTGTGTGTGTGGTGTGTGTGTGTGTTGTTGTATATGTGTAAATTTACATGTGCAAAAAAGAAGAGTGAAAAATAAAGTGGAGGAGGCTGGTAGGTAGGTAGGTAGGTAAAAAGAAGGAAGTAGGATGTGCGGACGGTTGGCACGTGTGCACCCGTGTGGCCTGCCATGTGTCCCCTGATGAATGCAAAGTTTTCAAATTTAGGCAACTTTCATCATAGGCGTCAGCTGATTGATGCATCCCTTGGTGCTCTTCTAATAACTAAGCTGATGATGATGATAGTGGCGATGATGATGGCGACGATGATGATAATGATGATGATAATGATGACGATGATGATGATGGTGACAATGACGGTGATGATGATGATGATGATGATGATGATGATGATGATGATAACATCAAAAACAGCGAACGTTGCAACAACAGATGCAACTTACTTTTAACATTAGTAATAATAATAACACTTACTACAATATTATTGATAATGATGATGATGATGATGATGATGATGATATTTAATAATAATAATAACAATAATAATGGTTTGAAAGCAAATGGAGATTTGCTATAAAGAGTGTTGAGTACGAGAACATGACAAACATATATGCATCAACGCTGCCGGCTGGAGGACTATAAAACAACAACAGCAACCACAACAACAACCACAACAACAACAGCAACAACAACAACAACCACAACAAAAACAACAGCATCAACAACAACAATATGAACAACAACATCAACAAAATGAACAACAACAAAACTATATAACAACAGTAGCAACAAAAACAGATGCAAAACAAACAACAGATGCAACTTACCTTTACAACACCAGTGAAACCAGCGGCATTTATCTACACACATTCAGATGAGTTGCTGAACAAACAACAATCACGAACACGTTGTGGCATAAGTTTTTAATAGTAGCAATACCGTCCAAGCAAATTATTGTCTTTTATATACAGTACACTTTATGAAAGTATCTTATATTTTAGGTTCAATACACTTTTGAAGGTACTTTATGTTTAGTTTACAAGTTCGGAAAGTATTTGAAGCATGATTTTATGTTTTATTTTATTTAGAACTAATGTATTAATGATAAATGCTTTGGGTTTTAATAAAAGGAGGTTTGAAGCCTTGTTAAAAAAACTAATAATGCATGATTGTCATTAAACTTTTTTGAACTTTATGAATGAAGTTTATGCCAGTTACCTCAATGTTCCTCATGATGCGTTTTTTTAAATGACAACTTTTTAAATTTGATTTTCTTTTTTAGCTCTTAATGCTTCTTGATATATACATTTTTTTATAATGGGCGGTATTCATGTTTTTAATTTTTCAAAATTTTTGTTTCAGTTATCAAATCATCGTATTCAACACCACCATGCACCATCACATCTGACAGTTACAAATTCATCGATGGTTTGAATGAGTCGTTCTTTGTGTTGTGTTGTTTGTAAGTGACTAATGCTTGATCAAAAAACTCATGGGAATATCCATTTTTAATGCTAATAGCCATTATCTAAGTATTTTAAAATGAAATTTGACTGCAGTCATCTTTGTTATTCGAATTTTCCATTTAACTTTTGCACAAAGTTTTTTTTTAATTTCTGGCATACTTTTTAGCTTCATGTAACTTTTATTAAAAATTGTATAAAAAATGATAATAGTGCAACAAATTTTACAAATGTTTATTTCACAGACACAAAGAAGCAAGCGAGCAGTCACCATTTCGCCCCAAGCAGGGTGAAAACAATTTACATGAAGTGAACAACTGCAGAAACGGTAGAAACTGCAAATTTTCTAAAATATTTTATCGCAATAAAATAAATAATTTTTATTTTCAGTCCTTGGTGAAACCGATGATGTACAAATAAAATATGAAGAATCTGATGAATTTGAAATCCTTCCCAAAACAACTCTCAACCATTTTTCAGAAATGTCCGCCTACAACAATTCAGCTAACTTCAAAGAAATCCCATTTTTTGCCAGTCCATGCCTCAGCTCACCACTTCCTCTCATTAACCAACAGGAAGATAATAAAAGTGGCAGCTTCGTTTTGAACGAACCATTCAAATATCAAAACAAACCTAATCCTTCGAAGCATGCTGATTATTCTTCAAGCTGTAGCAGCGAAAGCAATCTACCGACAAAACGTTTAAAATCCTCCTTCCTCTGTCTCTACTGTCCTCTTGAGTTTGCTGATTGCAAAACTTTGCAACTGCACGTGGATACGGTGCATAAAGCTAACAATTTTGATGGATCATCATACTCCGACACTTCAGCACTTCTGTTTTGCAGCCAATGTCCAAAAGATTTTTCAAATTTGTTTGATTTAGCGGAACATACTCGCATTCACCACAACTTGCTTGTTAACAGCAACGCTGCTAAAATGATGACAGTGAAATCGCCATTCAACTTTTTTAATTCTTTACCATACCAACATTTGAAGACTGCAGATCATTTGCAAGCTTCTTATCAAGAACTTCACAAGTTAATTATCGATTCCACGTTTGCTTCACAGGTTTGGATATTATAAAATTTATTTGATACTAAAAAGAACAAGTTTTTTCATAGAATTTTTAGTAAAATTTGTAATACTGAATAATGAAATTTTGCGTAAACTTTAATAAACGATATTTCAACGTTCAGATGTTTGCAAGTTCTCAAATGGACAACACATCAATCATCAATCACTACATGCACCAATCTTTTGAATATGCCTGTGCAAGTTGTCTCAAAATTTTTCCATTAGCTGACGAGCTGCAGAAACATTTGATGGAGGCCCACGCTCATCACCTCTACAAATGTTCTCTCTGCAAACTTGTCTTTGATTCCAAAGTGCGTTGGATTATTGTTTAACTCTGAAATAATTTCATGGTTGCTAAGCAAATAAAATTAGTTTTCGTTATCAATGATATCTCGTTAAACACTGCATTCAATTCAGGTGGACATACAGGTTCACTTCGCGGTTAAGCATAGTAACGAATGTACCGTCTTCAAATGCACCCGATGTCCTGATCTCAAATTCCGATCTGAAGTAGAATGGCAGCTGCATGTGAAATTTTACCACTTGGGACTCTCCAAGCCCTACCGATGTCTCTTTTGTAAAGACAGTTTTTTAACAGAGTCAGAACTGCTGGTTCACATTTCTATGCACGAAAAACAATTTGTTTGTTCCATTTGTGATGAATCCTTTCTTGTCGAATACTTGCTGGACAAACATCTGGAGTTACATCATTCTTCTAACTCCGTCAACGCTGAAATGGTTAATAAAAATAAATTTAGTATAAAACGTAATAAATTTTTTATAGCGCTCCAGTTACAATAAAATGAAAATAATTTATTAATTAAATTAGAAAAGTCCGATCGTTATGGCTGAGGACGCCAAGTATTCTCCGTCGTCTGTTTCTTCAAAGCCATCTTCTTCGCCAAAATGTAGGAAACAATTCAAGTGCCAGGTTAAATATTTTTTAAATAAATATGTTTGTTTTTTATGATTTTTTGATACACTTATGTCCTCATCATGTGTTCAGATAATTTTGCTGTTTATTTGATCGAGTCAATATACTTTATGATTTTGTTGTTGTGTTTAGTGATGGCCCTTGTATTGTTTAATATATTCATGTTATCTCATCGTTGTCGTTTGGTGTTCTATTTCTGATTTTATTTGTGGGTGGTCTTACACGTTGTTATGAATAGTGTTTTGGCAATTTTCAAGTTGTAATGGTTGTTGTAATGTTAAAGTTTGTTATCTAGGTTTTCTCCTGTGATTTTGTTGTTATGCTTCTCTTTGATGTGCTTTTTAATATCTACTGTTTGCACGTACATGTGATTGTAAATCTTCTCGATAGTTCGGTCGTCGTCATAACGATGTACTATAAATTTATCAGTCAGATCGTTCCGATCTTCTAATATCAATTCCGACAAACTGTTACAGTTATTTTTCATTATGAGAGATGATGTTTTTTGATGTGTAAGTCCGAAAAATAAATTCTTTTTTTTTAACGTGCAATACTTTTGCTCATGGCATTTTTTTAGGTTTGTGAATTAAAATTTTGTGGAGAAAGCAATGTAAACAAGCACATGCTTCGTGAACATAACATCGACGTAAACTGCCACAACGTCTCTGCCTCAGCCGCTCCAGAACCCTCCACAAGTTTCTCAAATGAAAAAAGTTCCCAAGTTTGCGTCTACTGTAAACAGACATTCAAGAGCAAATTGGATTTGGACAAACACATGAAGCTGCATCATATTTTGCCGAGCAATCAGAAATGTAACATTTGCGATGAAGTCTTTTCCAGTTCTGTTGTTCTGGCCGAACACAAACTAACACATTGCAAGGTCAATAAAACTTATTTTTTAAACTTGATTACAAAATTAACATTTATTGAATTTAAATATTTTTTTAAATACAATGAAATTAAATAAAAAAATAGAAAATGCTCTGTAACGCTTTATGGCATCAATAAAATTACTAAACTTGTCGATCTTTTATGATATGTAATGATTGAAATTTTTCAAAATGGCATGAAGGCGGTAAACTGTTGAGCACGCACTTAAAATTCTTTTACATGTACAAAAAAACAATTTATATCCATGTATAAAAAAACAATTAATAAAAAAAAGCGTTTAATAAATACCACTTAATCAGATAACAAAATTTTGAAAAAGATTATGAAATAGATATTCAAAGTTACGAAAATAGTTTATGAATCTATGTTATAGTTACTCGAAACTAACTACTGCTCAAAACTGCTTTCAAAGTTAAAGTCAAAAATAAGTGCAAGCGCTGAATTGAATTCGGCCCCATTTGAAGGTCAGGCAACGATAGAACCTGAACTATGCAGTTCCCTTTCCCTTGATTCTGTTAAAAATCGGTTCTATTCAGTGGCGGATCTAGACAAATTTGACGGGGGGACCAAAATTTTGAAAATGTCTAAAAGTTTAAATTTTTTTTCAACTTTGGACAGGAGGCCAAGATTTGTGGTAGCGTGGCCAAAATTAGGCTGGCGACCTTATATTGATATAAAATGGTGTGTTTTTTATGCAAAAGCTGAGTTTTTTTAATAAATATACTGCTCCCTACTGGGTGATGGTCTCTCCGGCCTTACCCCAAGATCCGCCACTGAATGTATAATACATATACATTAAGTGGCTGATCTTGATCTGATAAAAAGCCACTCACTTAATGAAATCGTATTTTACAAAACATTTAAATGAAAATGTGAAGCAAATTAGAGAAATTATATTGTCTCAGCAACGTAACTTTGTTTGTTCATAACACAATAATGGTTTTTTAAAGAATATTTTACATCAGCAATTGTTTATTTATTTTTGATCTGAAATATGTTTATTTTAATATATTAACAAATTCGTTTGAAGGTCGTACAGAGTAATTTGTGCACAGTGTGCAAGATCGTCTTAAAAAATGAGGAAGATTATTTTTCTCATTGCCATGAACATAGTTCGCAAGGAACGAACATGCAGTGCATAATTTGTCGCCAAACTTTGTCCTCTGCTCTTGAAATGCACCTCCATGGCAAACACCACTTTCAAGCAACACAAGAGTTCAAAGAAAAAAAGGAGCGTTGTGATTTGTGCTCATCTTATATTAACAGCAATGATAAGATACCCGATTTGTCTAATTCATTGTTCAAAAACAAGATGAACGTCTGCATTAAATGTTATAAAATGGAGTATGCCGATTTCACGCAATCACTGACGTCTCCACAAGATCAGACGAACCACAAAAACTTGAAATCCTATCAATGCATTAAATGCCAAGAATCATTCCATTCTGAATATGAAATCCAGCTGCATGTTGCAAGCCACGTAATCGCCGAAGGAAATGTTCATAAATGCAACTTATGCGCTAGAAAATTTGATTCTCCAGCAAAATTGCAGCTACACTTAGTGGAACATTCATTTGAGGACTGTGATCAAATGCTTTGCTATCTGTGCAATGAAAGTTTTGAACAAGCATGCGACATCCAGCAACACATGTTAACAAATCATGGTATATCATCGAAAAAGTACTTTTGCAACCTCTGTTCTCTCAAATATTTCTTTTCTGCTGAACTTTTGAACCACAGGATTTCCTACCACAATCACGACATTTCTCCATCTTCTTCGTTCGATTTTCAAGAACCTGTAGATGGTAACAGTGGTTTAGATAACAGTTTTAAATCTGAACACCAAAAAAATAATTTAAACTCAGTCACCTTGCTGCAGTCGCATAAAATAGAAAAATCAATTAGCGATGACTTGCAGATCAGTTACACTCAAGATTATGACAACAAACTGAGAAGTGGATTTCCTGATTTTAATTTTAAACCTTCATCTAAAGATTCCAAAGGACGTTCGTCCGTACCTGTCACTACTGGTCAGTTGGAAGCATTCGTCGTTGTAAATAAACTTTAAATTAATACACAAAACTTTCATCACCTAAAAATGTTATTATTAAAATTAGATTAAAGAATTGAATCAGCCGTTGACAAACCCTACTTGAAAATGTTATTTATTTAAGGTAAACTTGCATCTAACGATATATTTCGATGCTCATCTTACATTCAGAAAGCCTCGAATTTCAGTACAAAACTTCAAAGTTAGTCGCTTTTTTTTCCTAATATTTTTTCAACTATTGCAATTATCCATCTTCACTTCATATCACTTCATTTCATTTTCATATAACAACATATTCTCATTGCATGAAATTATTTACAAAATCAATTTCGAGATTAAATTCCATTTTTTATAAATCCCGTCATTTAATAATAACAAAACAAGAATCAAACATGTAAATGAAAAAAAATGAAACGAAATTTTAATAAAATTAAGTTAATAGAAAGAAAGCAGACTGGCCGTAATAGAATACGTAAACAAAGATGTATTTATAAGATCGGAGTCAATCTGCTAAATAGGGTTGTTGCAAGTGAGAAGGATAGTACGAAAGATTATTAGCTAAACGTGGGAAAACTAGCATTATATTTGTGCCTAAAAAGAAATACCTTTTAAAAATGAAAGAAAATTTATATTGAATATTATTTATAAGAAGTTGCTTATTCGACGTTAGCGCGCCGTGTGCCCTAAGAAAGGATTGGAATAATTGATTCGGACGAAGAGTTACAATATCATGGAACAACAAAAATGGCATGCCACTTTGAAGTTTTCTTGACTATATATCTTTAGACATAGAGCTTGCTTTTAAACAATGATGATGAAACAGCGAGATTTACACCTTTATTTGTAGATATGATACACCACATGTTAATCTTTTTAAAACACATTTTTTATAATATTATAAAAAAATGCAGGCCATTGATGAATGAAGATTTTCCATTTCTAATTAATAACTTTTGTGTGCTAACTTTTTTTCAGAAAATTCCAAGTTTCACAAAAAGAAGCGCCATTCGATGACGTTCAGTTCAAAAAATGAATCATCTACGGTTAGACTTCTACGTAAATGTTTTCATTTTTTGTGATTTAATTAAAATAAGCATTTTAGGTTAAATTGTATCAAACGCATGAAATAAATAAAGAAGGTCTCTTCCGCTTTTTTTCTCTCACTCGAAAAAAAGCAAGAGAAACTCACCAATTTCTTTATGACAAACAAAATTCTGTACAAAATATTTACGCTTCTTCAGTCATTCATTAGCCCTTTCAAGAAACTGCAATGACCTCCTAAAAATCAAATTATTTTCTTTTGTTGAGCTTTTTTAAATCGTCGACTTTAATTTACCTGTCTTCGTATTAAATTTATATTACTAAAATTTCGAGGTTTCTGTCATGTTATGTTAATGTTATGTGGAGGAATGCGCACCAGTTTCAGTATTAAAAAACGTTCCATCTTGTTTGCTGACTTTCCGGACGAAGACGACTTAACATTGACACTTACCACTTAATGAATTGCTATATTATTGTCATTATTATTACCATCATCCTTTTTGTTATAGTCACATGAAATTTAATTTGAATAAGTAAAATCTCGGATAAATATTTCGGGATATTTTCTTTTTAAAATTTTACAACATTCAACAAAAACATAGATGTAAATAATTTTGTCAAACTTATTTAAAAATTATTATAAATTATATTAACATTACTCGGTGTTTGATGAATTAAATCTATTATTTATATATTATTTACCTACATCAAGTAGCCTACTTCTAAAACATTTGAAACGGCATCCTCACACTTTATAGTTACACAAAACACCAGTAAAATACTTGAAAAGACACAGTTATACTTAGAACTCAGTAGTAGGTTATAATCTTTTAATTTAATATTTCACACAGAGTACTTGTGCTAAAGGTATTTCTCAAAAGCCGGAATATCCCTGTCCAGTGTGTGGAGGAAGATTTCAGAATATACCAGACCTGTCCCATCATATCAGCAAGATTCACAAGATTGATGACTTTTTCGTACAACAGATTCAAAATTCAACCGACAACGAAGCGAGTAATGAAGATTTAAATGCAACAAGTCCATCTGAGCAGACGGTTACATCAACTAATGCAAAAAATGACAACCAACTTTGATGAGTTGTTAATTAGGCGACGTCATTAAAGAGAAAACTACTTTTATACATATTGTATTCAATGTGCTGCTAAACATGACTGTGTCTGCCTATAGTGTTTTTGTAGGTTTTCCTTATTTGTTTTTCGTAAAATTTGTAAAAAAAAATAAACAACTTTTAAAGGATTATTGCTCAGCGTTGTTAATTCTAAAAAAAATTATAAAAATATTCGGCATGTAGAACATTATAGAAAATGTAACAAAACATGTGATAGTGCGCCACAACAAGCTTTTAACAACATTGTACAGCACTATTTTGTATCAACATTTTAATAAGTTAATTGAAAGCCTGCCTTACGCTTAAAGTATCAAACACTCAACTACTGACATTCTAAGCTGTTTCACATTCGAAAAAGGTTCACATATTTAAGATATACAAAATATTAAATCTGTTGCAGGATTTAAAAATTGCAGCTGAGTCTCTGCTTTCTTGGATTCCTGAAACTGTCTTAAGGGCAAACAAAAATAGCTATTGTGTCTAGGGTTCGGATTCGCAAACCACCTGATGTTGATTAAAATGTAAGCAGATGTCGAAATCATATAAAAATAACAATAAGAATTATGCTATAAAGAGAATTACTAGCCTAAAATGGTGTAGTAGTTAAGGTGCCTGGCGTTGCTGTTGAAATGACTGGGTTCGATTGCAAAAGAAATCCCAGCCTATCACATGCAAGAAGTGTTTGACACGTTGATTCACGTGTATCTACATTCACCGCGTTGTTGATTCATCTCATATAGAAGTAGAAAAGTCGAAAGCAATAAATGACAACCTACTGTCCACAACTTTTGCCAAGAAAACCATCGACAAACCAACTACTGGAAAGATTGCAGTGGAAAGAGATCGCGGTCAACAAAGAACAACGTTCGTGAAGTTTTTGTGTCACTTGTTGAATATCACCACATTTTAACTACTACAAAGTGTTAAAGGTCGGCTTTTGTGGAGGTCGATGGTCGTCAATGTCCTGAAAGGATAAGGCACGAGAAAGAAAAAAGAAGATACCTCTGAGAAATGTTGAAGAGAATCTTTTTGAAAAAAATAAATAAAAACATCAATATATGTGATTGGTGTCGAGTCCTAGTGAAACAAGAGATTCGTGAATAACTTACTGCTTTAGTGCAAATGCCAACATTCTGCTAAAGATACAAAAATAAATCTCATAATAATTGGACATTTTCCCAAAATCCGTCTGCATAGGGTAATATTTAACAATCGTGTCCATTTAACCTCCCCCCCCTCTTCCTTAGATTATTAACCAATCATTTGTTTAAATAAAAAACTATTAAATGTGCGTTTTAAAAACATCTGGGCTGTTATTTTTACTGTTAGAAATAGAAATGTTATAAAGCCGAAAGGGCATCGGATTAATCTATCAAAGTCGAAGATTTGCGGCTGCTGAAATTTGGAGCTCACTCCCAGCGGAGTAGAAGGATGAATCCATCCCTAAACGAGTCCAATATGAAAAAATCTACTGAAGCGTCATTTCAACAACGTGCACCCCGTAAGGCGTTTCTTGGGTCTTTTAAAGAGATGCTATACAAATCCAGATGCAAATATCTAAGAAATGCTAGACAAGCCTTACAAAACATTCCTTTTATAAATTCTTACCTCGACTCAACGAGATTTTTTTTATAAAACTCTACATACAACACTGGTGTTAACCTACTGATCTTGAGTTTAAAAAACATCACACCTCCCCACTTACGTTCGTCGTATCATTTTGAGTAACTAACCACATATTCACCATGGTCAAGCTGCTGGAAAAACGACCTTAATACGAGTAAACAGCATTGTTGACAGATACACACACATCCGCGGTCTAGTTGTCCATTACAACCAAACTTGAATAAGGTTATCTACGTGCTATTTATGCATTTGACGCTGTTCTTGCGCGACCATACCCGTGCACAGTACGCGGATGCGCGCCATAAAAATTTGGAATCTGTACGAAACAAGATGCCAACAATGAATAACAAACCACCTTTCCTGCCACACGGCAATCAGTTTTATAGATTCGTACGTACCACATCAACTTAATATAATTAAAATCGACACACATTGGTTGGAAAATATGAGAAACGTTTTAATTATAAATTGCATGAACTTCAAACAAAAACGAAAACGAAAACAAGTAACAAACGAGTAAATCATAGATAGAGATTAACAAGATTAAAAATGTAACTGTCTATATGATTTAAAATATTTTCATTTAATTTAAGAGCTTAAATTAAAAAATAAGATTTGCACAATTACCGGCATTAAATTCATTATAAAATAAATCACCAAAGGCCCACCAAAATTTCAGTTACCATGTCAATTTGTTGTTGTTTCATCAATATAAAAATAATTTAGATAAAAACATGGATAGCTACTATTAAGTTTCATTAAAATTCGTTAGGAGAAACTTGTGGCAAATTGGATTTCCAAACGTCTCCAAAACAAGAGGAACATTCAAATATTTGTTGACATGGATAAGAAATTAGATTGATATCAGAGAAGCACTTATGACATCTGCCAACAGAATTAGTAACTCCCAGCGGCGAAAAACCATTGGAAGAGTTAGGGGAAAACAATGATTCGACAGATTCTTGCTTATTCTTGCCAAAATTTAAATCAAACAAATTCTTATTCAGGCTATGAAAATCCTCTGTTATAGATGAATCCCGAAAGGTGTTGCAGCCACTGAGGTCTGGACTGAAAATATTTTTATTTATAAATTGACGCTCAAGTCCATAATTAGTACATATGTCATCAGCTAATTTTAAATTTAATACATTGTTATAAGAAGCTTCCAGGATATTATTTTTTGAATCCAGATGCAATGTACCATTTTTATGATCAGTCTCAACCGAGCCATTGTTTATTTGTTTATATAATCCACTCCAATTTAAATCAGGCAAGTTTTTGCCAGTCCTTTGCCAAACATAAGACTTTATCGCATTCTTAGCCTTTTCAACATTTTCAACTGATCCAGATATTTGAAAAATAGGTTTGTGATCTCGATTAGGTGTCACAATGTAGGTCTGAGTTTCCTGTTGAATTTTTTTTATGGTGTTACCTTTAGGTCCAACTAATAATCCAACAACATCATAAGGTACTGAAACTCGAATGTGCACCTCTTCACTGGATTTGTTAGATCCAGTATTTCCCAACCTACTATTTCGGATTTGGTTGAAATAATCGGAAATTGCTAAAATTTCCTTTTTAGCCATTTCTATTCCTTCTTTTCTTCCAGTTATGATGAAAATTGGAGGCTCGCCTTTCACAGGAGTTTTTATGTAAGTTCCAGTTTTTGCTCGCAATTCTTTGATTTTTGATCCTAGAAAAGAAATATCATTATTTATTTAAATATAATTAAAAGACAATATATCAAAGAAATAAAGTTTCATGTTTTCATTATATATAAAATGCTGTCACCACTGGGGCACACCTCTTTGCAGAATAATCTGCTACTCAAACCACTGAAATATAAAGCTGATTTAAGTGACCAAAACAAGTCATCATAATCATCATCATCATTATGTTATCAGTATCATCATTATGTTCTCAGGATCACCACAAAGAATATTATTAACTGTTCATTCTTAAAACGGTTTTAAATGTCCAAATAAGAACAATGTAGTCCCAAGACCATCATAATTTTTTCATGTTTCTAGAAGAAATTTAAATGAAAAATAAAAGTTGCACTAAAAAATTTTCAAACTTTAAAAAACTACAAGATGAAAACAGCAAGTGTTGATGAACTTCCTTTACTAACTACTGATGAATAAAAATTCTCTCTGCTAATAACAGTGAATGACAAGCAGCATTACCAGGCTCTTAAACTAGGTTTGCTGCAATTCTAAAAATAACTTATCAACCTTCTAAATCAAGTATTATTTGTTCATTCATTCATATTCATTTATTCAATTCATTCATATTCATTTATTCAATTCATTTTTCATTTATGCATTCATTCATTATAATATTTAATCCATAACAAATATTATTCATTAGTTTTAAATATGAAACAGTGGTTATTTCACAAACAAAAATTAACAATACATCTTTCCAATTGCAAGAATGATGCTGGCAACATAGAAACTGAGGCTTTGAGTTAAAAATTTTTGCTGACATATATGCATGGAATCAATCTTTTTATCAATTTCAAGCCATTCTACTCAATAAATTTAAATGTCACTGGAATCAAATGGAAAATAAGAAACCTATGTACACTTAGAGAAACAAATTTTTCTATAATCTACCTATTTGGGCATGACTTTTTTTTACAATATATCCAGATAGATATAACTTTTCAATAGATATAATATCATTCTCAACAATACAAAAATACAACTTCTAAAGATTTACATTTCTTCACAAGGTTTCTCCAACTAGTTTCCAACCATTTCAATTTAATGCTTCTAAACAGATTACCAACTCAGATATTCCCAAGCAGAAATTTGTTTTCTTGTTTGTTTTTCTTTTACAAAAATCTTAATTCATTAATAAGATTATTTCATATGATTCTTACCCTGTAAACCATAGATTAGTTTAATCTATATCTGCAGGCTAAACACTCCATCAATAAAAGCTGGTTATGTCCATTTTTGTTGCATTTTTTACTTCAACCAAATGAATTTTTATTTCTACCAGCAACTTATATTGACACACCAACCTCCAAAAAGTTGTGGTTAATGGTATTATTATTTAGTGATGATTAATTTTCTGTGGATAATGGAATGTTTCCAAATTCTAAGCACATATGAATGACTGTATCAGCCAGTATTCAGTATGTGTGTAAGTTACTTTAGAACCTTAACTATCTATCAGCCTATCTACTTTATTTATTAAATCAATTTTTTTATATTTTATCTATTTATTTATAATAGAAACTAATAAACCTCAAAAAGTTAACAAATGTTTAATTTATGAAAAAAATATTGAAACATGTCTTTTTTTACTTTTAGAAGAAAACAAAATTAGATAATTCCTTTAACATTTTAGAATTCACTAAAAGTTTTGGTCTCTAAATCTAAAACTTTCTACTCTACCTACAACTACACTACATCAAAGACCATTACAACATTATTTTTTACATTAACATTTTGTGTAAAAACTGCATTAAGTGTAAGTCTATGTCCTTAAAATTAAATGATTGTCAAAATTTATATTTGTTACAGAATATACTATACAGAATACAATAGGAATTATAAATAAGATAGCTAATAAAAAAAATATAAAAAAAATAAATAACGATCTTGAGAAAAAGAGAAAATGAAGCAGAAAAAATGAAGATGGTGAAAAGCTAACGCCAACCCTGCTTTCCGACGATTTCGGCGACATGATCAGAAGTTGGACCTTTCACCGTCCCCGTCATGTTCTGCCCGATCGGACATTTTGGTTTTAGTGACATGCCGCACCAACTATCCATAACACTTTTCACGATATAGAACTATTGGCGCTCCAAAGACAAAAATAAGAAAACAGAACATAAAAAATTATTATTATTTAAATGCTTCCGAAGTTAAACCCATATATAAATATATATATATATATATATATATATATATATATATATTGGCGTTAATATGTTTGTAGTTCGTTTTTTCGATTTTTCTCACTAAAGTTTTTTGGTGAACGTTTAGTTTATTAAAATTCAAAATAAACTTATTTTTTGAATTCATGCTGCAAATAAGGCCATATTTCGATTCCGAATGAATCATCATCAGTGCTCCTTGTTGTATATATAGGGAAATATTGACTGCAGCTTCATCTACAACTATTGTTAATTTGGCATGTGATGCACAATCGCACTGCGTCATCAAAAGCATTGTTATAACTAGTAAAAGACTTTGCCAAAGGTACAAAAGGACTTGGAGAATAAACCAGATGAGTGAAGCCATACTGTGATACAAACTGCTGGACTGCCAACTTATCAAGGTGCCACGCATAATGCATACAAGGTAGATGAAGCTATTCTTAAACATATCATCAATAAAAATGTCACACCAACCAACCCAAATAGTAAAGTTAAACTCCGAATTTATTACAACAATAAAAAGACGTCTCACCTAATACTGAAAAACAACTGCAGTCCTAAAGATAACTCTGAGTTAAAGCGTAATAACGTAATTTATGAATTTAATTGCCCCTTTGACGGCTGTGCACGTCAACATGACTCATATATCGGGATTACCTCTACTACCTCACTGACTAGAAGGCTTACGATGCATAAACAGAGTGGTGCTATCAAATCTCATTTGGACTCAACACACTCAATCACAATTAGACGTGAAATCCTCGACAGCAACACCAAAGTAATATACCAGAAAACCAACTACACGCATCTTAAAATTGCAGAAGCAGTCCTAATTGACATCAATAAACCAAAAACAAATATACAACGAAAAATGACAACCTCACTTCCAACCCGGCGCTTAACCAACAACGAAAACAAAGAAGTAATAAAAACTAGCATCGTAAATAGTGACAAAGAAGAATATGATGCTATCGATGAAGAAAAGGAGACCAAAGAAGATGACCAGCCAATAAAGAAACCTGACACCTAATTCGCATCAAAGTTCAACTTTACAACACCAAAGTTAATTTTTACAACGTCAAAGTTCATCTTGACAAAGTCAATATTTCCCTATATATACAGCAAGGAGCACTGATGATGATTCATTCGGAATCGAAATATGGCCTTATTTGCAGCATGAATTCGAAAAATAAGTTTATTTTGAATTTTAATAAACTAAACGTTCACCAAAAAACTTTAGTGAGAAAAATCGAAAAAACGAACTACAAACATATTAACGCCAAACATTCGGTAGAATTTATAGAATATTGTAAAAATTATGGTCTATTACCAATATATATATATATATATATATATATATATATATATATATATATATATATAGAATAAAACCATATACATACAATTAAAATGCTTACTTTACTTATATTTATTATTGAGTTTAATAATTTTTTATTTTACTTTGTCATTACATTTTGAAGTTTATTTACAACCATATACCCAAAATCCGAGAATACTCTTAGGACATTTTATTATGTTTGACCACAGTTTAACCCACTGAACTATAAAGTTAAGTGTAATTTTTAACAACTTTGAACATGAATGTCTATTTACTCAGATCTAAATGACTTTGATGGGTTGTAAGTAAGCGATGAAATAGAATGAACTGAAGAAATTTAGCAATTTAGCAATTTACTTATATGGCAAAAAGAAAATTTATAAAATCAGAACTACTTGTTTTTTATATAAAGAATGAATAACAGCTATTTTAGTGTCAGAATATTTTTGGCTGATTTTATGTGAATTCTATACCCTGATTTCAAACAAGGCTGAAGTTTTCTCTATATGCTCATATTTTGGAAGGATACTGTAAGCATTTTGTATGTCACGCTCTTTTGGTTAATTTTAAAAAAGAAAACAATTTTCCAATTTATTTATTTGCAAGTTTACAAAATGTTCACCAGTGTGATTCTCTATGGGCTAGATATCCTGATAAAATCATTCAATTTGTTTGTTATTCAACGAAGTTTCCAAATTAAGAAAAAAGGCAGATGGCTGTGTAAAGTGGGTACATTAAGCTCATGTTATTAATACATGCTAGTAATTCAAATACTTTTGATAAGTAAAGAAATTACTTTGGTGCTTTTGTGTTTTTTTGCAAATCATTCATTAATCTTTTTAACGCGCGGTTCATGAAAGGTGCAATAAGTTGAAGTACCATGGAACCTAGTATTTGATGAGCATGTTTTAATCAGATAATGTAAACCGTTACGGTTTAGACATCTTGTTGTCAATGAAATGACTGTTGACTGAAGACAGGCTGAATTTGATGATGGGAAGTATGTTGAAAACAATGAAATGTATATAATGTGCTATGTATTTAGATGTAAAATATATCAAAAAATCAATCAATCAATCAATCAGTTAATCAATCAATCAATCAATTAATAAATAAATCAATCAATCAATAAAATAAATTAAAATTTTTTTTTACATTTGTTAATATATGTAATTTTTATAAATCCGATAATAAAAAATGTTTTCTCATTATTCAAACATATATATGAAATAAAAATTTTATAATTTTACATTTATAATTTAATAATTTATATTTATAATTAACACTTATAACTTTTTTAAGTGTTTATTCCATGGATATATATAATATCCATAATATCCATGGTTTATTCTAAGAACGTATCTGTGGTGTCTTCACTGATGTCAATATTTAAGAAACTTTTGTTTATTAGTTGAAATTTTTAAATAATTTTTCTCATTTCTCATTTATAGCACTATGAACGCTCAAGTAAACAAAAAAGGTTTGTTATTATTTTTTGTTATCTATTTAGGCAGTTTTTAAAGGGATTTTTTCAGTTTACTAATCACCAACTAAAAGGTCGTGGCGGCATGATTTTTGATTTTGATGGCGCTATTTGTCTCTCTGTTTGTAATTTGTATTGTTCTGCTTCTGATTTTCTGCTGAACTGTTGGCGAAATAAAAGTTAAACTACTTTAAATTTAAAAAATGGTTCTTTTGACTGTGTTGCGAATCTTCCATTAATGGCATTAATCAACATGTTTGATCTTCTGTAAAATTTTATTGGCTTTTCTATTTTAATATTTTATAGTCATAATTGCATAATTGCTAAGTAATAATGGCCTACCTACCTAAATAAAATCTCAATATTTTTAATTTTTTCATCCATCCATTGCAAAATTGCATCAATCATCTTTTCATCTTTTTTCACATAATCAGTTCAATTCACCACATGCAATAATAATGAAAGGAATTTTATGGTTTTTCTTTTCTAATTTTTTGAAAAACATTCTTCCAATAACAATATCTGAGTTCATTTAATTTGCTAAACTTTGATTGAAATTGAGCAGGCAGGTTTTGCCCCATTGTGGATCTCAGGAAGGTTTTTAACCTCCCAAGTGTGCCCGGTTTAATTGTTGATAAACTGTAAAGTTTACTTTGAAAATCTTAAAATGCAATTATTGTTAATATTTTGGTGCCTAATCTTTATCAGTTTGATTGATGCTGAATAAATAAATTTAACAGTTCAATTTATATTTATAATAAAAATAATTCAACAGTTTATGCCATTAAAGCGAAGAAAAAAAGAAAACCTAAGAAACTTAAACCCGAAGAGAAGCCGTGAGTAATTTAATTGTTTGCAATGATTATTATCTACATTAAGTAACTGATAGAAAACTGCAAAGGCTAACAGTTTAAAATTTGTTTGACATAAATTAATAAAAATAAACTTATTTATAAATGCCTGTCTGAAGGCAAGAGCAGGCAGATTATGTGATTGAGAAAGAAGGAACGGTTAACGATTCAACTTGCAGCAGGTCTGATGACGAGGAGGAGATATTGGGATCCGACAATGACGAGCAAGAGGACCCTAAGGACTATGTCAAAGGTGTTTTTCATGGTTTTATTTTTGTCAAGTGATTGTTAACAATATTTTTAAGTGTTAGTTATATGTGTTAAGTATTGTAGATGTTAGTGATTTATGCAGATGACTTCAGAAAGTAGTTGTTTCTTGGTAAAGCATGAAAGAGATTTTTCAAAAATTAAAACGGCTGAATTTAGGAAAGAACAAATTTAAGAAGTGAAGGCTGGTGGTAGTTAAACAAAAAAAAGCAGTCTTTGGAACCATTAAACAAAATGGTTACAAGGAATGATTTGAAACATTCATCACTATGCATTTATTAACGTGCCTGTGTAAGTGAATAAATAGACATGAAGAGTGATTTACGTAACTGATCTTGTTAGCTAAGGTTTACATTCCGGGAAGGGAATTCTTACATCAGGTCTTAAGTCAGAGCTTTATGGTTTTTTTGTATTATAGTAGGGATATATAAATTTTAAAATTAAAATGATGTTGCATGTTCTCTTTGTGTTAATGGCTAGAAGGAGAGGTTGATGATTTGAAAATAAATGACTTTCAAGTCAAAGGAAATGAATTAATTTTAGTGGAGCAAAAGTAGTTTTTATAACCTGATGAAAAAAGAAAATGTTTTTGTTTTCATGAGAAAGATTAATCACGCAATTTCATTCAACAAAATGAATCTTAGTTTTGCAATGAGAATGCCTGAACAGAGCCGAAGTTTTATATAAAGCCGTTAATTAAAAAAACTTTGAAAGCAGTCAGGCGGTTGCTGAAGTTGCAAGAGAATTCACTAGCATGGTTGAAGTATTGGCTACTAGCAGGAAATCCATACAAAGCTATAGATCACTACCCAGTACAAAAGAAGTCCATTCAATATCTTAACTAAGGTATCTTGAGTGAGGTATCAGATGTCAGTTACAAAAACAGAAATGCCAAATATTGTATTTACTTGCCAACTCTGTCAGTGTGTTTTTTTCGTTCTGATTCTCGTACAGATTGTGGTTTGAATTTTTTATGAAGACTTTTTCTTTTACGTCTAATTAATTTTTAAGCTGCATTTTAGTTACATAATAACAAAGTTGAATATGAATGGAAAATGTTTTCAAGGTGGCTACCATCCAGTGAAGATAGGCGACTTATTCAACGGGCGATATCACGTTATAAGAAAACTTGGCTGGGGCCATTTTTCAACTGTCTGGCTCTGCTGGGATCTTTTGTCAGTATCTCCTCAGTTTTTTATTCGGAAAAAGCTTTTTTAATAAATATTTCACAGATTATATTTTTTATGTTTTTGTTTGGTTTTATGATATAATATATATGACTAATTTATTGGTCAAAATGAATGGCTAAACTAATTAAGGTTGATAATATATTGACATTTTATTTTGTATAGAAATTATATAATTATCATTTAATTTTAAAGGTCTTTGAGGTTTGTTGCATTGAAGATTGTCAAGAGTGCTCCACATTATACGGAAACTGCTGTTGATGAGATCAAGCTACTCACCTCTGTTGGTATTCTCTTTTTGTTATTCAAATTAAAGAGATTTTTATTATCAAATATATCTGCTCTTTTTCATTATTTGATTGATTAATTAATTGATGTCTTAGTTCGTTTATAGTTCATTATCCAATCTAATAGGTATTGAAATAATTCTCATTTCTCCACAGCTTTTAAAAAGTTGTACTCTTAGATTAATTTTTTTTAACTTTACCCCTACTCATATCTCTTGAATGCATGAATAAATTAGTTAATGCATGGAAGAAAGAATTAGTTAATGAATGGATGAATAAATGCATGAATGAATGAATGGACAGGTAAGGGATGCTGATCCTCTGGACCCATTTAGAGAAAGAACTGTTCAACTACTTGACGACTTCAAATTATCTGGTGCCAATGGAACACGTTTGTTTTTTTGATTATGTTTTTGATTAAGTTTTAGGCCGTAAGTGCAACAGTTCTGTGATTTTTATAAATGAAAATTTAACAACTAAATTGTAATTTAACAACTAAATTGTCATTTTAACTCTAACCATAACCCTTATTTTAGCTATGTAATCGCAAATTACATGTTTCTCGTTTTTGTTATTAAAAAATAAAAACTGTCCAGAGCTAGAGGTTTAATGAATATGTACATTGTGTATATATAATACGTGTATATACATACAAACTTACATGCATGTATATACATACATAATATACATATATAAGATACATATTGTGCTTGAATTAGCTATTTGCTGGCAACTTTGTTCATTTCATTTCAATTTGATATCTGTTAACTGTCCAATAGTTCATATTTAAATTCCTGTTATCTTTTGTATCTCTTCTATCATCTAGATATGTGCATGGTGTTCGAAGTGCTGGGTCACAACCTGCTTAAACTTATCATTAAATCTGATTATCATGGTATACATCTGCAGAATGTTAAATCAATCATCAAACAGGTTTGTTTTGGGTCTTCTTATAGGCCTCGATTTTTACTTTCTAAAATGTTGATTAGTAGAAAGATTCACTTTTTTGTTAGAGCAAAAATTATTAAATGAAATTTCGGTTTTTGTTAGTTTTTGTACTCAACTTTTTTATCAATATTTATAATGATATGTTTTTAAATGTTAAATTCAAGCACATGAGAAATGCTGTGTTCTAACCTAACTCATCAGACATTTTAGCTAACGTTATTATCTTAGTTATAAAATGTTGCAAATGAGATGCAGATGAATAAATTCGATTTTTGCCAGACTCTTCAGGGCCTACATTATCTTCATACGAAGTGTCAGATCATTCACACAGATATCAAACCTGAAAACATTCTCCTGTGCGTCTCCGATGAGCACGTAAAGAAGCTGGCCTGGGAGGCTGTCGAGTGGCAGAAGTTGGGCATCAAACAACTGCCTGGCTCTGCTAGTACGGTTTTTCAAATCTTCATTATATATTACATTTATAATTGGCTTACATTATATTAACATTTTTCATTCAAATTTTTTTTTGTTTTATGTCAAGGAGATCATTTCGTTTAACATTCTTTGTATCAAGTAGTTTTTCATCAAATGTTTATTCCATCTAGTGCTCATTTCGTCCAACGCATTTCATTTAATCTTACAGAAGTTTAAGTACGGCGATGGTACTGGTTTCATGGTAAATAAATATATTTTAACTATATTGGCAATCAGTTTGGAAAGACTTTTTAGGACGTGCTTATCATTGAATGGTCCAATTAAATTTTGGCAGTTTTTAAAAAAGGCAACTGCACAGAGCTTTTTAAATTTTGTATTCAATTTTGGTTTTAGAGTTTGATGAAATAAAATGCAACAAAATGATCTATTGCAAAGATGTTCATCATTGGGGTCATAATTACCTGCTGCATACAATCCTTCCATTGAATGACTGGACTCACAAAATTATGAAATCTCTTCATTTATTATTTATCGCACATATGTTTTACTTTTTTCATAATTAGTTAGTACTGCTCCCAAAGAGAAAAACTCTGCAAAAGTATCAAAGAATAAAAAGAAAAAATTGAAAAAGAAGGCAAAGAAAAACCAGGAACTATTGGAGAAACAATTACAGCATCTGGAATCTCTATCTATACGCGATGTTGTTTTTTTTCAAATTCATTAAATTTTTATTCCCTTTTATTTTTTAAATTGATTGATTGATTAATTAATCAATTATTTATTTATTTATTTTATTTGATTGAAGTACTGTGTGTAAACCCTGAAACATGACCTTTGAACTAGTGTGTTGCAATATTATTTTAGATGTCGATATTAGGAGGTAGACGGATTTGATTTTGATTATTTTGATTCCATTCAAGCAATTCGAGCAAAATAGAATAAAACTTATTTAAAAAAATATATTGTGACATCATAATCACCTTTGGTGAAGCTCGATATATTGACTTGGAAACTTTGAGATTCCACAAACCAATCTAAGAAAGATTAGTAGAATTTGCAAAAGTCAAAGAATTTAAGCAACAAACACAAAACCCAACAGCAAGAAAGGGACATGGGAATTGTCCGATAAAAAATGTGCACTTGATAGATTTGGGTTAGGGTTAGGGGCTATTAAAACAGAAAAATGGAGACAGTGCAATTTTTCTATAAAAAATCAGAAAGGTAGAACAAGTTGAACATGAACAGTGTGTGTACTTAGATTGATTTATAATCAAGATTTATAATCAGTGACAATGATTTCTCAAAAGACATTTCCACATAACATGTTGGTGTAACTTTTAAAGAGTTCAAGTGTTCACATAGTTTACTGAATCACTAGCCAAATCCAATTATTACTTTTTAATTCTTTTTAAATATCACCAGTACTTCCTATTGTTTTTAAAGATTCAAAGACATTTTAATCAACAATAAATCTTTTTGTATCACCTTATTCATAACACTTGTTATAAACACTAAAAATGGCATTTAATGGCTCTTTGGAACACTTTTATCAAACTTTTTGATAGACGCCTTATTTTGTTAATTTTGTTTGACATGACCATGTTTGACATTTTGTTTGACATGACATGACCAAGAAGCAAATAAACATTTTTGGCAGTAAAATTTTGATTATGTATTGGCAGTTTGAGTTTTTGAAAAAATGAGGGATCTTTTTCAAAGTGTTCTCCATTTTTACTTCCATGCTGTGTGTGTACTGTTAACTTTTTCATGTTTGTATGAAATTAAATTTATCGACCATGTAACTTAATATGAAACACTCCAATAGTTTCTTTGAAAAATTTTCCACATATAAATGTTCATCTTTAATCACATTCTAAAATTCTAAAATGAACCTAAAATTCCAATCTCTTCATGATTGTTCTGATGCGAGTCTTATTTCTTGCAATGTTATTAGTTTTTTCATCACAATTTTTCAAAATTTCATCGTATGGTTATACAAATTGTAAATTTTTTAATTGATTTTTTTTCATTAGTAAACAATTTATTTTAATTGTTTTGAAATAATTCAAAATTACCCTCAGAATCCTGCTACAAAATCTGATTCTTCGAAAAGAGAAGTTCCCTTGGACAATCAAAAAGGTTGAATTGCCTCATTTCTGCATTTTTCGTTGATCATTGTATTAATGTATTTCATTCATGTATTGAGTATTTGATAAATAATTAACTTTTATTTGTATCTGTTGAACATTGGAATATCTCATTTCTGTTCACTTTCTTTTAAGAGCAAACTTGTTTCTGGATCTCCGTAAAGTGGTAGACTTTAATTCACGCTCACGTTGGTGATCAATCTATTTGCTCCACTCTGCCTATTAACCTATTTCATTTTAGCTGACAACCTATTTTTCAACGGAAGCTTAATATTGCCTCCAAACCTTTATTGCTTACAAACGACGTTTCATCAATTTCATTTTTCCACTTTATTCTTTTACTTCCAAATCTTTTCTTTGCAAGTTACACAGTGAGTCATCGAGCTGTCGGCTGCAAACTTTTTTAACTTTGGACCTTCTGAATTTTAAACTTTTCGAACTTTTGAATTTTCAGTTATCCAAGTTTATAAAACTTATTTCCATTTACCTGCTTCAGTCATTTGTTATCAAGTTAATAAATTTAAATCATTTCACAACAGTTCTGCCTTTAGAAATGAATGGCAACGAATTATTTGATACAAACAGTATTGAGAACAACTTGGAAGTTATAGAGCAAGGTGATGGCAAAGATACTAGGACGACTCTTAGATTTGCCGACAGCGAGGTTGGTTTAAATAATTATTCCTTTGAATCATTTTCCTTGATAGACATAGACAAAAAATGAAAACAATAATAATACCATCCAAATTTGTTGCCATGTGTCCGATTGTGATGATGTTTACCATTTCCAGTACTGGGTTTCTTATTTAACATTCGTCTTTCAACAGTTTACAATTTGCAACAAATTGTCAACGATTTACTCAACAGTCTGAGGACCCAACAAAAATTAATTAGTGCGTAGTGAGTGATAGATATAATTAATAAAAATATATTAAAAATAATAGTAGCAAATTGTAATAACAAATGAGAAAATGACTATATATTATCATGTACCTGGTAGAGATAAGATAGTAATATTTTAACTATCGGATTGCAAGCAGAACATACAAATGCACACAGTTAACAGTTTGCGTTAAAAGATTCATTGAACAGATGAGTTTAACCGCTTCTTGAAATATTCTTAAGAGCTGCCCTGAAAAACATCTAATGACGGGGATGATAGGAGCAAGCTTAAAAACAAATGTTTACCTTATGTCAAATTTGATCTGCAAACCAGCATTTTCAGTTTATTTGCCGATTGTAAAGGGATCTCTCTATAATCACAGGAACATACACACCTATCCAAAATATTTTTAGCGTCTATCGTCTACATATACACACATTTATATATTATAGGGGCTGCATGTTGATTTCTGTTATTTTAACTTTTTGTCATTCAACCATTCCTTTCAAATGAAAATCTTCTTGACACACTGGGACAGTTATCTAATTCTTTTTTTTAAAGATAAATTTATTCAGGTTGTTCTATATTAAATGAATAATAAATCCAAATTTAAATAATAAATCCAAATTTTTCAACTTCGTTTTTCAACAAATTTAGAAAACAAAATTTAATTGGTCCAAGTAATTCTGTACATGTAGCAGTTTTATCTTACTGTTAACAGGATTACTTTTATATCAATTCATCAATGTTACTACATTTGTTAAATAATTATTTAAATATTTGAAAAAAAATTCAAATTAGTCATATGTTTAATTAATTAAATTTTAAAATATTGAAAATAAAGTTATGAACGACTTTCTTACAATTCAATCATGCATTACAAATATTTAACACAGGGAGACGTTGTGAAAGATACAGTTGCAAACAACAATCTTGAAATAAGACAAGCCAAATCTATTGAGGATGGAGAGGAATCAAATGAAGGTTGTTGCCATTCCATAATCATCTTCTTCACGGAATTTTTTTAGCAATTCTCAACTGTTTCAGTTTAATAGATAGCTAACGTAATTTTGCAGACGAAGCCATTGAAGAAATATGCAACGAGCCTGCCTCACCATTGCCTGCAACAACTGCAACAACTGTCCTTCAGTCTCATCAACACAAACCCAATCCCAGTAAAGAACCTTGCGAGCTTATTGTAAAAATTGCTGATCTGGGAAATGCCTGTTGGACTGTTAGTTTCAAATTTATTTGCTAATAAGTTCAGTAACACTCAATCATCAGTTTAATGATTTTGTAGCTACCATAAAAGTTCTTTATTTTTGGTATCAAATGGTTGATGCATGAATGATAAGTTTATTTATCTAACAAATAGGTTGTTTATTACCTCAAACTAAACATAGCATATGTATAGAATAGTGAGGTGCTACTAGCGTTTCCGTGCTTCTATGGCGTAGAGAAATTAACCAGGAAGGAGCCGCGTATTTGATGTATGAATAATGAGCATATGACAGTGTCACTTTGTATTATGTAGGGTTGTTGCCGAACGGAGCTCCGTTTGGATATTTGTCCTTGCTGCACAATCCAGTCATATTTGGCTCTGCTTGGATGTCATTGCAGGATAGTTCGTCGGATAAGCAAAAATATATATACCTTATGACCTACATTTACAATAATATTTGTTAATGCTGTTCATGAGCCTGAATATATTGATGGTACCTTTTTTAATTTTATCTTTGCTATTTGTATTTATTTAAAATTTAATATTGTGCTTTAAAATATATGAATGTCACTTTTAAATGGAAGTGTCTGAGATTTATAATAATAAATTTAAAAGATCTTTCAGTGTTTAATCGTCTGCTTGAGGCTGTTGTTACTTGGTATTTGATATTTCTAATTCATTTATTCATTGCACGCACACAAATTTTATGCAATGCTTTTGAGGTTGCGCGGCAAGCTCATCCATTTTTCCAATTATTATTTACTTGTGTCAATAAATTTTTATTAGTACCGTCACTTTTCTGAAGACATCCAGACCCGGCAGTACAGATGCCTTGAAGTGCTCATTGGCAGCGGCTACAATACTGCAGCCGACATCTGGAGCACAGCTTGCATGGTCGGTTCATTTTTAATTCTATATATTATATTTAATTTTTTAATTCAATCAATTTTTGCAGTCTATTTATTCATTTTTTTTTGCAAACATTGTTTGTTCAAATGATATAATGTTCAACAGTTTCACACCATTATCAGAATTTTTGAAAGCTAAAACTGTTACTAGCATCATTAACATTCAAGCTCTTGAAAATTATTCAAGAGTTGACTTTCGTTTTAATTCTAAAGTAGAACAACACAATGGATTTGCTCTGATTTTCATTACCATACATTATGATAATTTATTATCTTAAATCTATAAATAAACATAAACTAATTGAAAATTAAATAACTTCATCTTAAATAATTTAGTTAGCGCTTGTTTTCTGACAAACGTACATATCTTGGTTATTGTGTTTTGAAGCAGTGCAGTTTTATTGAGTAATTATTGCTGCATATATTTCCATACCAGGCTTTTGAATTGGCGACAGGTGAGTACTTGTTTGAGCCTCACTCAGGTGACAACTATTCAAGAGATGAAGATCATCTGGCTCACATCATTGAACTTCTTGGACCCATACCGAGACACATAGCTTTATCAGGCAAATACTCCAGAGAATTTTTCAACAAACGAGGTATAAACTTTATTCTGCTAATCTTTGTAAAAAAAAATATATTCATGTGATTTATTGCTATGAATTTATTAGAAAGGAACTGATCTAAGCATGTCTTCGATGATTAAGCAATGTGCTGATGCTTTTATCCAAACTCATCATGTTGTAGGTTTTCAGTAAACAGCATATCATTATTTTCGACTCGTGAAATATTTGACTATTTTTATATGTTGCTACTTGAAATGATTTATTTTAAAAGTTTTTACATTTTTGGTAAATCTATGACTTTTATTTCGCCGTCAAATTTTTGTAACAGGAGAATTGAGACATATTGACAATTTGAAGCCGTGGGGTTTGTATAGCGTTCTCATTGAAAAATATCAATGGCCAGAAGGTGATGCTAAAGAATTTACAAGTTTTCTTTTGCCAATGTTGGAGTACGACCCGGCTCGAAGAGCCACCGCAGAATTTTGCCTCAAACATCCCTTCCTCTATGACGATTTCAATTCAGAGATGGGATTATCAAGTACTACCAATTAGGTAGTGGTAAAAAATTTGCTTAGGTAATGACGTTTTTGTGGCTTCAACATTTCAATAAATTTTGAATCAAAAATACTCTTAAGAAGGATCAATTTTAATTATTAGTGCGTTTATCTACATTAAAATAAATATGTACATAATTTATAAAAACGAATTTCTATCATGCTTCTTCCAATTTTAAAGAATGTTTCTTCTCTTGAGGAAATTGGTAGAGAAATAGGTTGTATTTTAGCAAGTTACGTTTGCTCATAATTTTTAATTAACCAAATTTTAATCTTTTTGTTCCCATATCCTCCACCGAGTCATCATCACTCATGATCTGCTCCCTATTGGCTTGCACTTCTGACTGTGAGACCGATTTTAATGTTGTTTCATTTGAGTGATCAGTTTAATTGCCTTGCACTGTTCAGTAAATTAACAATCCAGTTCTTCATATGTAAATATTTTTTAAATAATTTAGTAACACTTTTAAATTTGATGTATCATTAATGTAACATTGATTAGGGGCTTCTCAATATTGTCCAATATTGCTTGAAAATGCAAGCCCAAACTCTAATATTGTCTATTCGCAGGTAGCAGTCTTAGCAGCAACATTTTCTAACGATTTTCGGCTCAGATTTCAATTTTAATTGATTCATTAAAAACTCTCAATATATATCTTTAACATGTTTATTGTAGGAACATTAAATTCATTCAAAGTTTTTTTTATTAGCGAAACGTGTATATAAATTCATACATTGTTCTTTTTCACTGATCTCCCTCGAGTACAAATAAAATGTTATTTACGTTTCGACCAGTGGCGTAGGCAAGAGGGTTTTGGGGCTGAGGTCCTTCCGCGGTGGAAAATTTTGATAAGGATAAGGCCATAATAAACAAAATCTTTATATTAATTTGAAAACATCGGGACTGGAAGCTATTTCAGTCATTTCACAATAACAAAACCGAGGTCAAATTTCGCACAAAATCACCGAAATATGCTACTATTTGTGTGATAACCATAATAGTAGTCAACTTATTAAAAAATTTAAGCCCCCACAGTAAAAACCTGGCTACGCCACTGATTCAGACATATGTATAAAAAATGTTTGTTGACATATTAGCACGTTTGCTACAAATTTACATTTTTTTTACATAAACCATTTTTAAGAAACTTTATGATGACACTGTTATTAAGTATAAATGAAATAAAACCAAAGATTTTATGATAAGTATAGCATTCATTTTAAATGGTGGTTTTGCGAAAAACATTTATTAAAGTTAAAAGGTGAATATAACAGCGATATCAATAAATTATTTTAAGTACAAGTAAAGACAGGCTTCATTTCTTTTCAACAGTCTCCGCTTTTTTTTGTTTTTCCCTCATCCGGTCGGCATCCCTGAATAATCAAAATGAAGTAATTTTAATATGCTTATCAAATAGTGAACTTTATCGTAAATGAAAAGTAGGCGAGAGGCTTATGTTATTTGAAACTATTTATATCATTTTGACAATGTTTTATTTATAATAGAAAGAAGGGTTGTTTTGAAATTTTGAAACAGTTTGAAAAATAACTTGGAGAAATTTTTTGCAATTTCGTGCTGAAGTGGAATAAATAAAATACATGGCAGTTACAATGACTTGATTTCAGCTTGTCTCCATGAAAAGTGCGTGAATGCGGTTGTGCTTAAATATTTTTCTTAATCTTCTTTACAGTTACACCATTAGCACTTCCTTATTATTGGTAGTATTATTTTTGTTATTATTCAATAAATAGTTATTTATGCACACTTATCATATTACATGACACCTAAAGACTGACTTCCACTGGACCCTCTTAAAAATATCATGACATTTTACCATTGACATTGTGCTTCTAACAGTAGCTAGCTTTTAAAATTTATACCATTAATTATCATGGAAAATACTTACTAAGTCTTATTAAGTCAGCACATCAGTAAAATGAGCCTCATTTTTGACACATTAAGAAATTATTTTCAATCAAGAAGTATATTTATTATAAAGTCAAGAGATTAACAAAAAATAAAAATAAGAGCTGATCAAAAAAACGTGATAATTTTCTTTAGATAAAATAATTGTTTCAATTCCACATCAATGAACGAAAATAAGTAAAACCTTTCTTTACGCTCCTGAAGACTTGTTCCCTTATTACCTTGCAATTCATCAGCCTTCTTGGCTTTGGCCGAAGTGTTCTTCATATTCTTGGCCCTAGCTTGTTCTCTTTGATTTCCTCCTTGAAATTAAGTTGTCATTATTTAGAGGCATTTTTGTAAAACTTATTCATCCAGAATAATTCCTTACACATATTAGTAATGAACAAAAAAGTTTACTTGTTGCATTGCCGACATTGGAAATAAATTAACTGGGGATTATGGTTGGTCAAATCACACTTCATTTTACAATTTTTAATTAAAAAAACGAAAATTTTTGTTTGTCAATTGACAACAAATGGTTTATTCTATTTGTAAAAACGTTTCTGTGAATGATTAAATGATAAATAGATATATAAAAAAAACTTTTTAATTGCTGAATTAACTGTAACTAAAAACTAAAATTAAGCTGCAAACGCAATATTAAAAATATATACCTTTAAATTCTCAACTTTTAATGAAACTCCTGATTAAATAAATCTGAATAGATATCTAGGGTTTTTTCTTAGGAATACTAACAATGGGAAATTCCTAACAAGCATGAAAGAATCTGACGTTGCAAGTAAGGATCAAACCAAGACCAGGATAAAACATAATATATGTATAAAAGAAATAAATTGCTAACATTAGCATTAGTATCAAACATTTTCATGTGCTAGTTAAAACGTTTTTGGTTAAGTTAATCACTATGTTGTGTTACATGCCTTTATATTATAAAGTGCTGCTCTCATTCTGAAATAAGGCAGACACACCTTGCTGTGTGTTACGCTTTCTATTTGAAGAACTTCGGATATTTTCAGCTAAGGGATGTTGCATGCATTAAGAAGACTGCCAAAAGAAAAAAATAAATTGCTTGTGCCATTTCTGAAATACCAACACAATTCCTCCATTATGTATATTAAAAATCATTCTGATATTTGTATACGTTCAAAATAGTCAATTAGGCAAAAGTCTAGCAGAGGATAATTGCAGGTACCAAAGGCTGTTGCAGAGGGTAACAGCAAGTACAAAAATTGTTGCAGAGTGAATACAGGTTACAGGTAAAAGAACTGTTGCAAAATGATTGAGGATACAAGAGTTTTTGCAAAGAGTAGCTGAACACGCAAGAGCTGTTGCAGAAAGTGGCTGCAGATATAAGGATTGTAACAGAGTAACTGCAGGTACAAGAGTTGTTGCAAAAAGTAGCTGCCGGAGGTGCTGGTACAAGAACTGATGCAGAGTTGATTGCAGGTGCAACAATCGTTGCAAAGGTACAAGAGCTGTTTCTTAAAGTGAATGGGAGAGAGTTGATGCAAGAGTAACTGCAAGTTCAAGCGCCGTTGAAGAGGTCAACTGGAAGTATATCTTATCTAAACCTGGTCATTAGAGTTTTTATTAAACTAAAGAAAAGAGACAACAATAGTTCATTCAATGAATATTTCCTAACCCTGACCTTAACCCTGACACTAACCAACCCACAATTATTACTAAATATCATTATAGACTAAGAATTATTTATTATTCCATAAAAACATTTAATTTACTATACTTTTAATTTTTCCAAAATAGCTTAAAACTGAACAATCGTTAATGAACATTCACGAGTTTTTTCCAAGTCTCAAACTAGAAAATTCTAATGCTCTGACTATGACACTCTGTACTGATGCTGAAATGAATGGACAACAAAATGTTCAACATTCAACTGTTAATGCATATTGTCATTCAGTTCAATATCAGTTCGTTTAAAGCTCAATCAACCAATTATGAATCATTGTCATATCATATCACAATTGACTATCAGAATCAGAGAATGCTGGATTAGTCTATTAAAATTAAACTAAATTACTAGATAACTATAGTCATAGAACGTTCCCTTCTAACCCCAACACTAACCATCAAAATAATTATTAAACAAATATCATTATAAACTTTAAATTATTTATTTCACAAAAAACATTTAGGCAAAACTTTACATTAGTGCCTAAATGCAAACGAAATTTGAGATTGTGAAGTAAATAGGTGTAAAAGTGAATTTATATTGATAACGCTGAATAAATTAATTAAAATGAATTTATATTAATAATTCTATATGAATAAATTCTTCCTTATGTTTAACTTTTTTTATTAATTATTGTTTTAGATAATTATATAAAATGAATTAAGGTTTTTTATTTCAAAAATGTAATGTTAGGACATAACTTTTCAAAACTGATTGGTTTATTTAATTGATTATATAATAAAATTCTAAAATTTAAATTCAAATTATAACAATTTCTAAAAAATGTTTTTAAAAATATAGTAACCAAAATAATTTTATCAATCAAAAATGTAATTTTTAAAATATTTGAATTTCTTATTCCAAAGATCTTTATCACGACTTCTGAGTCATTTGATTCGGCGCTTTACCTCGAGTTTATTTAATAGTACATACTTTCTTTTTCTATTATGAATCAAGTGGACAGGGTTAATAAATACATTGACGGTCACAGATTGTTGTATCAAGAAATGATTTGTGACAATTGCACCAGTGATATGACTGTAAGGTAGGGTGGTTCAAAAAAAATTTTTTTTTAATATTTAAGTGCACACCCCCTGTATTTTTTCCTTAGCTGAAAGTTAGCATGTGTGCAAAATTTCATTCAATTCTGACAATATTTAGAGGTTGCTCAATGACATTCAGTTTTTCACCATATTTAGCATATAAGCGAATATTGGTCAGTGCTACAATTTTGTGTTTAATGTTTATTTTGCAGTAAAATGAACAACATTCTTGTGAAAATCATGTAAGATTTAACAGTTCTACAAATTTATACTCAAAATAACAAAATATTCAACACTAAACAAACAGTTCTCACAAGGTAAAGGCAACTTGATTATGCCAAACGAAAGTTCAGTACTGTTAATCTTTGATTGAGAAACTGAAATTAACTTGAGGCAATTAATGTACTCAGTTTATGTTTTTCTGTTAATCACTCATAGTATGTCAGACTCAAAACATAGCAGCAGCTGCTTGAGCACTGGCTAATGTGCGCTTAGAGGAGTCCGGAATACGTGTTCGATTGTCCTCCACCACCTGTATCAGTTTTTGCAGTTCTGTTTCATTTTTGGTTATAGACTGGTTAAAATTTGTCATGAGTGCCACAGTGCGTTCTGCAGTGTCATTAACGACCTTAAGTGACTTCACAACATTTGCTACTTTTTGAAATGAAGGAAAATCATTCCATGAGTCTGGTTCAGTTTCACGCAAGATAGCAACATCCATTCCAAGTGATAACAATGCAGCACGAGATGTACCTGATACCAGATCATGCAGTGGTTTGCTTTTCACCTGTTCCAGTTCAGTTGCAGGATATTTGACACCTCGCACACTCCAGTCAGAATCTACTGCAGTCATTGCTTCCACAATCAACTGCTTCTCAGCATTTGCAACCTTATTTGAGAACAATGACAGCCAAACCATTTCTGTACCGAGATACCGCAGATGATTCTTCAACTTTTTTGTGGCAGCACTTGCTACATTCTTGTTGATTTCAGAGTATTGTTCAATTCTGCTCAGAAGTTGCAGGTCATTGACTGGTGCATCACTGGGTATTGGGCACAACATCCATGCTGGCACATATATATGGGTTGCAAATAGGCAGAATTCAGTTAAACTTTTTGTTTCAGTTGCTGTTAGCTTGAATTCATTGCGGAACAAATACATTTTGAGACAGTAGATCACTTTGGCCTTCCATCTGGCCATGTGATATGCTCCAGGAACACAGAAATGGTACTTGCCATCAGTCTGCATTGGATAACCCAGCACTAAGAGACAGAGTTCAACCAACTCCTTGTAATCCTCTCGTGGGATGTATGAGCTGTCAGCTGAAAGAAAACATGTCAAAGATGGTACTATGTCAGACCGCATTATCTGTAGCAATGAGTGGTTCATCCTGTCATCATCAAGTGGCTTGTGGTTTGACTGATTTATATTTGGCCAGTAGGCTCGAAATCTTTCAAACATTCCAATGTTGGGGCCACGGCTTGGACCAAACAGAACTGTGAAAACTTCACCGATTATCAATTCATGTACATGATG